CTGTGTTGTTTCCTCCTGAATTGTCTCTTTAAATCAAACCTTCCGCTCTCTCTGCTGACGCTCGCTCTGCAGCCTCGCTGGCATTTCAGCTCCCACGAGACCATAAAGCATCTTAACTATGGGACAAAGACGCTGTGCAGGAGCTTCTTTGTGCAAATGATGATTAATTTTCACAACAGTCGGCACTTAAAAAATACAAGTCCACACTTGGATGCTTGTTTTTGACCTCTTCTGCCTCAATTTTCACCTTAAATTTACCCTTAATTTGGTGCATATGGCAGATGCTGGAGGATGAAAATCACCTGAAATATGTTTATTCTCTCTTTCGGAGGGCTGATGGGAAATGTTTTCTGAAGCATGTTAACCTTGATGAAATGCATGATGGGAAACATATGCAAATAAGCTAAGCACGGTTCTAAATAACAGGATGAGTGAACTAAACTTATTGGACATTCAGTCTGAACTCAACTCCTGCCTTGGTAACTGGTAACCAGGTAACTGGTTTCCTGTGCTCTAAAAAACACGCATTAATGAAACTTTCTCAGTTTGCAACAAGTCACAGATTAAGACTCAGATCCATCAGCAACGGCCGAGCTCAATTTATTGGCACAGTTTCAGTTTTTACATTAACTGCTGATCATTTAAGATTCTAAGGCCCAACAACTTGTAACCATACTACAAACAAGTACCAGTTTTCAGAGCATGCAGCTGTGCTACGTCACATTCTGTCTAAAAGCATGTTCCCCTCAAGCTGTCTCTTCATAGGGACGCTGGAGGCCAAAGGTCGTCCTCCATCACTCTGAGCTCACCTCTCTACAGATGACAACAAAGCTGCAAATGGTGTCAGAGGAACAAGTGGTGATGTGAGTGTGTGGTACTGGGGTCGTGACCTCCATGTAGGGCCCGACCATTAAAGCGGGAGGGTGATGGTCAGACAGCAGTGGGGGAGGGGGTGTTCTGGGTAATTAGAGCAGGGTTTGCTCATACACCCTGACACTCTGTGACAATTTATTGCCCCGCTTGGGCAACTTGGCCACCCATCTAATTGCAATATTAGTGTGTACTAACGGCGGTGTTACGGCGATCCGTCAGCAGCACATCCTGCTGCCTCGGCAGAATTTCAGCCATTAACCGGCAAACGGAGGAAACAAAGCGACCTCTGAGAGGAACATCAAAGCACATTTATATTCACACACACAGGCCTGTTAGTGACCGGCCGACAGCGTCGCTTCACCCGAAACAAGCTTCAGTTTGAAGGCTGAAGTCTGTTCTTGATGCTGGGAGTGTGTGTGTGTGTGTGTGTGTGAATATCAAAAATATCTTCAGTCAATCTAGGATCCAACATGAAGAGGCCATTGTGATGCTCAAAGACATGAGCATCTGTACCTGCACGACACTTGGGCAACACACTGCCTGACGTGCTGCGGTGCATTTTCTGGCTGGAGAACCACAGAACGCCTGGTGCAAGTTTAGTTTATTAAACACATGGATACAAAAACCCCAGGAAACTGATATTAAATCATCCTGCAAACTGCTCTGCAAGAGATGAAAATCAAAAGATGTGGATTCACTTGGAAAAGAGAAGTGACTGCAGTATTTCAGTGCAGAGTACAGTAACTGTGCAGTAAATCTGTGTTCGTCCTGACGTCTGAGGAAACAGAGAGAACACACAAGCTGCTGTATATAATCCTGAAACTACCGCACAGAGACGCAGTGGGTCGGCAGCCGGTCGTCACACAGGAGCACACCCTGCTGCGGGACGAGCGAAACAACCACGACATCAGCAAAGCTTTAAGAAACACCTGTTGCATGAGGATAGGTGAGTGAAATTAAAAGTGTAACTGCAGTAATCCTGCAGGCAGTGTAAGTTTTGCTCCAGATGATGGAGGGATGGGAAATAAGAAAGAAAAGGCTGAGAGCGCATCTGGTGTGG